TGTTTGGTACAAAGGTCTGGGAGTGCTTACTTGACATCAATTGAAAGAGACAGGTATTAACCTGTATGTTTGAAATACAGTGTGTTGTTATTGCTCTTAGATAAACAGAATTACCTCCTCTTAAAATCAAAGGTAATCTGTTTTACTTCAGTGAGATGTGGTGATGACCACAGAGAACAAATCATTTTTGGCAAGTGGAGGAGGGATTTTCTTGGCAAGTTGGAAGAAGCATCAAAGAAAGAGAAGAGGGATGGGATGCAACACAACTGGTTTTAATCACACATAACAGTCAAGTTCCTCTGGACAGGCCTACTGTCTGATATGCCATTGTAAACGCTCTGGGGAGCCTGGATTAAGAGAATGGAAAAAACAAGTGAATGGCATAAGGTACTGAGGGCACTCAGTGGAATAACTGGCAAAGCTTTTGTCAGTTAGCATTATGCAGTGATGTATCGCTCCCATTAATGTAGTGTCTCAGTACCATGACTTTGATTTTAATCGGTGTTTGCTTATCCAAGTCCATGCCTTTTTCTGGTTTTGACAGTCACAGCTCCTCAGATCATACTGCACTTCTGTTTGACATTAACAATGAAGATGCTGAATTGGTTATAACAAGGATGCATTTTCATTCCCACTGTACAACCACCAGGGAGAGGGGAGACTCTCTTATTTCAAGCCAGTTCAGCTCTGAGGTGGTCTGAATTGCTCTGGAGGTGCCAGTTTCTTCTTGCCTGTCAAAGAGCCTAAGGTGGCTGCTACCTAGACCAGGCACACTGCAAGCTGCCTGAATGGATGGGATACGTCTGGAGAAAAAGAGCTTGGGCAAATACTTCTTGACAGGACTGTTCCTCTTGAAATGACTGTTTCCTCTGGAAATTGCTGATTTGGTTCACTAAATTTGGGGGCAGGGAACGTACTGATTTTATTAGCGTATTCTGTAGGAAACTAATGTTTCAATTTGACTATTACAATACTATAAAATGTATTATATTATCATCTCACATATCAGTTTAGACTAGATTATATAAACATCCAAACAAGAAAGCCAAACTAAAAATAATTGATATGATCATTTCAGTATTTTCTGAAATAAAATATTTTAGAACATCCATTCAGTGATATGTTTCAAAATGATGGCTCTCTCTTCCAATTAGGAATGAAAGGACATTTGTAATGTCTGAGTTGCCTTCAGAACACGAACAGCTTGAGCTTTGATGGTTGCTGGAGCTGCACAGTTGGGATCACTGCTCAGACTGCTGTAATAATTGCTTCCTTACATTTTGTTTGGGTTGCAGTAGCATTTGGGGGCTATGGTCAGGGCTTGAGGATCTCTTTTGCAAGGAACCTCACATTCATATAGTAAAGATAATACTTGGCCTTCAGTCACACAGAACAGAAGCATTGGACATGATACGGGGAAACCAAGCATTGCCAAGAGCTTTGGTGGTGACATGGCAGAAGTGGGCTCTACTGCACTTCTGCTAAGCATTTACTTGAGTAGTGGTTGCCTGGGGGAAACATCTGATTGCAAGACTAATTGGGTATTTCACTAATTATCTGTCAGTGGTGAATGAGGGCTTCAGCTTGAAGGATCCTGAATGTTCTGTGAACCTTGCCTCAACCAGGGTCTTGATCTTGGATTAAATTTCTGGTAACGCTGAGATCAGGAACCAGTCTTAAATGAGCACCAAACAAATGGGATTCAAACTCCCACTGCAATCTGATGAGCTGAAGACTTCTTTAAATACATGGTTTAAATAACCTGATAGTTGAGGCAGAGCAACTGAGTTGATTATCCAGTCTTTGAACACCAAAAAGCAACTGATACACAGATGATTTCTAAGCAAGATCTTCTGTTTGAAATTTGTGATTCATTATTATTATTCTTATTTACTATGGTAAAGTCCAGAGAGCCCTGAACTTTAAAGCCAAGAATGGCCCTTGCCCAAATTCACGAACATTTAAGGGTGGCCTACACTGGTTGACTGGGAGTTCTTGAATTAAAATACACTTTGGAAAAGGAGGAAGCCAAAATATTATTCAGTCTGCAGCAATCTCATGCATTTAAGCCCCTGGAGGGCTTGTGTTTCTTTACTCTTGGGGTTCATTATGTCACCAGAAAAGCTTTAATATTTTACTGTGGAAGCAACACAGCCATGAAACGTTAATTTCCAGGAATGTGGGAACCATGAAGTATGGGGTTTTCTACTAAATTAAGATTTTACTTGTCTCTGTTCTCACATAGTTAAGGGAACCAATTTTCATTATATGTTTACATATATGCACTCTGGAAATTCAAATAGGAAAGATGTACAAAATACGGGAAGAACATTTTTACCTTGAAAAATGTATTTCACTGATAACAATACCAGTCATTTATATTCTACCTTTCATCCTAAACCACTTTACATTCTATATCCATCTTGGAACCATGACTCTCATTACTGAACAGCACCCACTCTGGTGTGTAAGTGAACAGCTGATATATTCTGCCCTGTGAGATGTGGCAGCTGTTTAGATTTCTATGAAATTGTTTATTTGTATAAAGTTGTTTACTTCCCTATTTCCACAATGCTGTTCTCTCACCATTGTAGAGACCAACACCATTCAGATATGCCTGGCACAGACACGATTGTATTAGGATCTCCAGCAGTCCCCAAGTATTCTGCACTATGGCAGATGTCTCTGACTGGAAGAAAAAATGATGAAGGACAAATTAATTTGTAATCCATGTAAAGGTCTTTTAAATATTCTCCTGTTATTCCTAACCAGTGTTACTAACTATAGGACTGATGCCTCTTTCCTGTAAAACAAATGACTGGGTTTCCTTCAGATATCTACACATTCTCATATGCACACAAAGACCACAGCAAGTTTTAGCAGCCTCGGCAGAATGAAAGCATTGTAGTGGCTTAAAGGGAATTTGAAGCGCTTAGTTCTGGAGACAATTCCAGAATGTAAGTGTTCACCTAGGGTTTTTAACAATGTTATATACTAAATTTACATTCATTACCAGTTGATTTGAATGGAAGAATTAGCCAAAACATTCCAGAAGCATCTGTGTCATGGGAACCATAGGTTTCTAAGCTATATGAAATGCCAGAATATTCACCAAATCACCAGCGTTGTTTTCCTTAATGCTACAATTAGCGATGGCACATTTAGAGAACAATTACTGGATAAGATCTGATGGCAGGAAGCCCTCTACCATAAACTGGAAATTCTCAACATATGCAACCATATTGCTAGAGAAGATGAGTTGTGCAATTAAAACCAAAACTGGAGATTTGTTATCAAAGGATGGCAAAGTATACTAAAATCCAGCTGAGACATTCCCTGATCTCGTTATCTTCAGGCTTCTATGCGAGTTAATCTAACACAGATGACAATATCTGACACAGACAATTGTGCCTACAGTCATGTGGAGGATGTTTTATAGAACCCCTTTCTATCAGAACGTGGGGGTTTGTCATAATGCAACTCTTTTTAAAGTTTGCTAAATTTTGCCAGAATTGCATTTCAGGGGAATAAAACATGATAAAAATTCTGACAGAGTCAGAACAGTCCATTCTAACGTCATCATTAATTTCTAAAATTTTGAATAAGCCATATTGAATTTGCTTTTTACTGCATTTAATAATATTTTAAGTGCAAATTATTTTAAAAGTCCAAATCAAAAGAAACATTTGATTTTGTCTGAATGAAAAATTTTAATCAACTTGGAAAAGTCTGTGGTTGTGTGGTTTTCCTTCCTAAAGAATTTCAAAATTCTCCCTTCTTGTCCTCATTCAGAATGAAGCAGAATTTCAAATTCTGAATTTTTTTGCAAAATGAACTTCTGTCCTCCCACAGTACTTTCTGCACCTATATGAAGAGGACAAGAAGCTTAATTTGTAATTTCTGTGAGCCTTAAGGAGATGCTATGTGTGTTAGTATTTTCAAATCCAGGCTTATACAGCTGCTGTTTGAATATAAATCATAGATGCTTTCGGGTTACACTAACACCCTCTGCAGTTTAGTACAGTTGTTAATTAATACAATACTGTATTAGTTCTTCTTACAGTCTTACTATTAACACCCCATGAAATCCCATTAGCTCTGCATATGGTGCCAGACTCGTTCTGAATGTGGGAAAGAAAGAAATTTACAGTGGTATGAATAATAAAGAGAAGCTTTCAAGTGGTTTCCACTGTGAACATTTTGAAAAAATATTTTCCAGAACGTAATTTGTGGGGCAATCTTTTCACAAAATTTCAATGTAAACATGCATGTATTTATCATTTAAGTTTTCCTCTGGAGTGCAAAAACCTTTACACACCACTATTGTTCTATGGCAGAAACATCAGGAAGATAAAATAGTTCCTAAAAATGGAAAATTAACCAGGTTGTCTTATTGTCTAAACTGACAGAAATGGAAAAAAACAAACAAACAAACAAAAAAGAAACTGCATAGCTGATGCCAACAAATGGATAAAATTTTCCTTACATTTTTTGCTTAAATATTTTAAAGTACAGATAGTGATGACAGTCAAAATTTGGGTTAGATTTTCCAGAAGTTACTTAAATTTCCTGCTTTGGTGATCTGACAGATCCTTCTTAAATTCCAAGAAGATTTAAGTGCTATGGCAAAAACCAGGGTGATTTGTTAAGACCTCATACAGAACACTCCAAAATGAATTAGCCACTACAGAAACTTCAGAACCAATTATTTTCTATTATTTGAGTTTTGTCCAGTATTAACTCCTTAATCAAAGAGAGATCTGACAAGGAGCTGTTAGAAAGGCTTTTAAAAATGGACAGAATGATGAAGCAGGCAGGATTTAGAAGCAGACTATTCCCTGAAGCTGGCTCAATTGTAATTCTCTCCTGATCCTTTAGGAGTTGCTGCCCTAGAGTTATAGTAGTAGCACTGCATGGTTAGGAGGATTCTAGTAGATGCTTTTCTCCTTCCCAGTCCTGTGGTTCATCCATAGTCCAGTCTCTGCAGTCTCACTATGCAATCAGGAATGGCCAGGGCCTTTCTGCATGGCCAACATCCAGACAGGGACACACTGCTCAGGGAATCCCTCCTGCCTCTCCTCTCGTAGGATGGTGAGTCCACTCATTTCAATGAGGCTGTGGAGGATGTTCAGGTCTCGGATCACACTACTATCCAGACAATCCAGGATACAGCCCTCCCTGGCTACATTGTCCTTGAGAATGATAACACCATTATCCTTCAGGCCATTCTGGCACCGGATGAGAAACTCCAGGAGATCTTTATCTGTCAGATATCCTACAGATGAAAAGATGGAAAATAGATCACTATTAACCATTCAAACAGACTCCCCCGTACACATCAGAATGGTGCCTTGATCTGAGTCTCCATTCCCTATTTATTGCAGAAGTTCTAGTCCTACCAGATTTAATTATGAAATCTTGGGCAAATCAACAAGATCAACAATTACAAACTCAAATCAATATTTAGGATCCATATTAGCAGTAGCAACAGATGTGGACAGAAGTCAATGGGAATACTGGAGAAAATACTGGGTGCTGAAGGGTTCTTTAATCTGGTGGTTAAAGTCATAATAAGAATCAGTGGCAGGAAGCTGGAGCCAAACGAATTCATACTGGAAATAAGTGACAACTGTTTAACAGTGTAAGTAATTACCCATTGGAAACTACCAACAGAAGTGGTGTTTACCACCTCTTGAAGTCCTCAAATCAAGTGTGGTTGAATTTCTCAAGATACGTTTTAATTGAACACAAACTACTGTCTCAGTACAAGGGTAAAGGAATGAATATAACAGCTTGTGACATACAGTAGGTCAAACTAGATAATCTAACAGTCCCTTCTGTCTTTTACTGCTACAAATCTCTGTAACTTTGTGTAACGTTATGTATCCATCAAAGGAGTTCTGGATCAAAGATCCAGTGAGGAATGCAAGACCTTCCACACTGCTAAATAAACTCTTTATATTACCCCATACTGTTGTGATTTCTGCATATACCATATACATAGAGTACTTTTTTCAATTTGTTACTGAGATTGTGTTATTTATCCTTCCTTCTCAAATATCAATACTTATGTTATGTTGAGATCAGTAGTGCAGGGCTCAGAGAAGAGCAAAATGAGAACTCTCACAAGTGAAACATCTAAAATGAATTAACAAGGACAGGTGGTCAGAAACTGAAAGACTTGAAAAAAATAATCGTTTGTGTTTTCTAGTAAAAATATTTAGTTTTCTTGATGGAAGATTTAAACTTTTATAAATGGAAGTTGTCATTTCAAAACCACATTTTGACATAGCATGTCAGGTTTCTTTAACCACCCCCCCAAAAAAAAAGAAAAAGAAAAAACCCCCAAAGCCTAAAGCTGAATACCTTTCAAGTTGAAGGAAAATGGTAATTTCTATATGAAATGTAAACTTGCATTTTTATTTTTTGATAAAATAATAGCCTGGGCTCATATACTTAAGCATACATAAGACAAATCAAGATTGCATTGGCAAGACTCATTGAAGCTTCTGAAAACCTAATTTAGAACTTAATGTTCTCATACTTTAGCTTTTAGCCTACCTTCCTAAGAAAATGAGATCTTCGTGGTGTTGCCCTCTACCAGACAGTCCTACCCTCACTCCACCAAAAAGCGCTGAGCTTGTTGGTGTATTTCAGCCAAATTCAAGATTGGGATAGAAGGTTGATTAATACTTAAGATCGCTACATAATTCATTGAAACTGATGGAGGAAGGAGATTCTGTGTCTGTGCTAAAGAGAAGGCATATGCTCCCTTCATTAGCAGCCACATAGCTGATCAGCACAGCCTCAGACAAGTCTTAGTTCATTCAGTTTCATGTTCACTCAGATTTGCTCAAAAGATGAGGCAGGAGCTACATTTACTTCAATGACTGGTTATTCAAGAAAAGCAAAAATACAAAGGAAAATGATACTGTTCTGAAGCAATTTGCTTGTAGAGCTATAAAGACCTGTTCTAAGAAGCTCAAGTTTCATTACTTTTTAAGACTATGTGTAGAGGACAAGTAAGTGCTCCTGAATAAAACCATCTTCTGTGCTAACCTCTCTACCTTCATCTTTCTTTTTGCCTAGCAAGAAACTATCTCTGGCGTTTTGGAGAGAAGGAATTGTTCAGGCCTCCTCTTGTGCTTTAGAATAATGACTTCTGCCAGCTGAAACTGCACCATCGACACTTAGGTTCACAGACTAGGAGAAAACCTTCTTTCTGGAAGGACAGTTAGGCACTGCAGCAGGTTTTCTAGAAAACACTAAGTACCTTTTTTTTTTTTTTTTTGTGACGAACATACCCCACATTATCTGACTGCCAGTTTGCGGCTCTTAATGCTGCAGGGCATTCACTGGGGTGGCTGCAGGAGAAGAAGCAGATATTTCTTACATGAGAGGGTATGGTAGGACATAGCTAAGTGAACCTGTTTGATAAGCATCACTGCATGTATAAGATACGATCTGGTTTATAGGTATTGGTGATTTCGCTATGGTTTTTTTTCAGATTGTTTCCTGAAATACCCCCAAGTCTGGATAATCATCAGATTCAGAAATCCCTGCCCACAGATAAGGCCAACCCCGTGTATCTGTCTGCAGCACTGGCAGCTAAGAAGGAGGGTTCCTGCTCAAGAAAACCCATATATAAGGCCTTCTCCTCAGCTGCACCTTAGTATGCAAGCTACTCTCCAAGAACATGTACCTTCCTCCAGTACGTGACCTGAAAAAAACCAACTTGATTTGTACCCACTGTGCATGTGGCTGGGGAGAACTCTCAGAAGTCTTTTGTGAGATTTTAGGAAGCAGTCCCAAAGATTTGAGAACATCCTTTTACAGCTGCACCATTCTTTTAACAAACTTTATCACAGGCTGTATAGTTCTGTGAGATGCTGGGCTGGATGAATCATGCTGAACTAACCTGAAACCCACTGAATCCAGATGACATCATATCTTTGTTGGGCTGGAGTGAATTCCTGGAGGCTTTTGCAATAATACATCTCTACTCTGTCCTCCTTGCCCTGCAGGTAGTTTGGAACCTCAGCCAGGAAATTCTCCATCATATCCACCAGTTCCACGCTCTTGAAAACTGGTAACAGGACATGCTTGCTGATACGACCTATCCCAGAGCCGCAGTCCAGGGCGCGGTTGGTGCCAGCTTTCCCCACCCCCTGTGGGATACAAGAAGATAATTTGAAATGTGAAAAATACCACCTGAAAGATCATAGCAACTGTGTTACCCGCTATGGCCTTTAGTCCACCAAGCCTAGTGTCTCGTCTCCTTATTTGTGCAGGGCTGTTGCAAGATTGGTAAGAACCTGGGATAGTATCAATACAGCTTTGGGCACCTCTGTGTGAGCCAACCTGGGTTGCTATGTTCCCAGGCTGCTGTTGATGGGACTTCCTCACTGCAGCCCTGCATTTATTGCTGTACAGTAAGTTTTTGCTTGGTATAAAAAGAGACATAATCTTTCACAAGCTCCTAGCTTTCTCAGAAGATCCACTGGTCTTTGTAAAGTCCTTGCCACTTCATCTGTCAAATATTCATACCTCACAACCAACTACATGGCTAGATAAGCCTCATTCTAAGCCCTGTAAAGGCCTAACAAAAAAGTAAGCATATACCAAATACTGCATGCAAGAAGGAACTTCTGCAGCACAGAACTCCCAAAGTGCTCATGGACATCTCTGCAGATACACAGCATCCTTGGGATCAGAGTGTGGTTTTCAAAACAAGCTGTGTTTGAATGTAGCTCTTGGATTTGTAGGTAACTTATGCCAACTCAAAAAGTTTGGACTGGAGCATATACAGAATTTCTTTTTTAGGCATAGAGACAAGAAAGATGATTGAGTAGATTTTGCTTAACTGTTCTTTTTTTCTTCATAAATATCATTCTGGACAGAGACATGAAAAAATGTGGCACAAAGGCTATGTCTATGAGAAAATAATGAGTCACTGTTAAAGGAGCTTTATAATGAAAGCTGTATTTCACCCCTAAAGCTTCCATTCTAGCTATAAAAAGGCTCTAAAGGGCCTGCTGCTGTTCTGTAAAAAAAAAATTGTACGTCTGTACATGCACTGAGTGTGGGATTGGAGCTCCCCTGGCCAAAGTTATCTGTTAAAGAAATATATTAAAAGCAAATGTAAACACCTTTTCCCTGTCCTCTGGAACTGAGTGTTGAAGTGAAAGCTATGGGCCAAAGTCCCTGCTGCAGCTTCACTGCTCTTGAAAGAAATAAGGCCAGGAAGAGTCTTGCTCTTCCTGCTTATTGGGAGACACCCTCTGTAATGACCAAGCATAAATCACATAAGTCACTGCTTTTTTGGCCTTGCTTCAGTGGGTAATTCAGTAGATTATTAAGGTCAAAGGACAGTACTGTCACTGACATGACTATGAATAGCCCAGCTGAGCATCTGGTTACATAGAGTAACTGTAGAAAGAGCACAAGGACCTCAAAGGCTCTCACCAGTTTCCAGTGCTGCTGGTCCCAATTTGTGTACCTAGGAAGATTAATCTCCCGATGTGTGCAAGAGTCTACAAGCCTTCAACCCTATTGGACTCTGGAGACTACCTGTTTGTAGTTAGCCAGAAAATGTGAGCCATTCTTCACTCACAGGCTGCACGTAGGACCATGTGGCTTTTACTGAGGACCAGGCTAAGCTGTAACAAGGAGTTCATGAAAGGAGAAGGAACTGTGTCTTGGATCTTTATAAGGTGGATTTCCATATTGTTTGCTGGCAGATACATACAGGCCTACATTGCTGTGATTAAGTAAAAATCTTTGAGAAAGCTGGTGAGAAAACCAGGATGATTTACCAAAACAACCAAGAGAATTTGACAAAAAGCCATATAACTTCTTTGACATTTGTGTTACAGAGAACCTACAGTCACAGTACCTCACCTGAAACAGGGAATTCATCTCCCATGATGTGTCATGGGAAGGACCTCTGATGACACACCTCTATTTGCCATTGAGAAGAAGGAAAGGGAACAATCATGGGAGATGAAGCTTGATCTCACACTTTGCTGAAAGGGAGCAAGAGCATCAGGCAGTCAGTTGAGAAGCCCTGTGAAGCACCACGGCTCCATTTGTAATGAAAATGTTGACATAATTCCATGTTCAGTTAATATATTTTCAGTTTGGAAGTGCTCAGAGCTTTGACAGGGTATTAACATTTTCTTTGGAAGGCAATCATTTTCCCAAAAGCCTAATTGAGTGAAAATCAGACTCCTTATTTAAAAAAATGGTATAAGTGAAAATTTTAAGCCAGAACAGGCTTCAAAATTTAAGACTGACTGCTCCTCCGATTACCTGCTTCCCATTACTCAGAATCATTATCATTTAGGACACATACCCACTCAAAAATTCTTCTGTAAAGCTAAATAGGGCACTCACAAATTTCCTTAGGGATAAAAGAGCTGTGGAATATGTTCCTGATGCTACTTCAGGTCTTGGAAGGGCAGGGAGGCAGTGTAGATATGTAGGATAAGAAAACCCCAGAGTTCAGAAATGGATAAAAATCACACTGGTTTTCTTTCTAAATTAAAAAAAAAATAAAAAACCAGGTTTTCAACATCTCTTCCATCCCCTTGAGATCAAACAGGAGAAAAATCACTTTCAAGAAGCTTTTGATTCAGCAAGTAACCAATCACACAGGTGAACTGAGGGCAAGAAAGGGAGAAAGGGTTTAGGGGAGAAAGGGTTTAGGGCAGTAAGGGAGCTGTAAAGTTAATATAATCTCCATCTGTATTATTTCACACACCTATAGCTCACAACTATTCCTGAATGAATGGTTTCTTTGTTTTCTTTATTTCCTTTTTTTACATATTACCTCTGGATTAGGCACTTGAAAACACAGTGTCTATGTGGACATCAAGGCTTTAACTGGCATTAATACATTGCCGTAAATATGCAGTGATATAGTTCTGCTGATAACCCTTCAAGTATGACTGTACCTAAGACAGCCTATAGCTTGTCTGTACAGCACTGTTGGCTCAAGTAATGTTGCTCTTGGTTTGAGTTCTGCCCACACACACATAAAACCTCTTAACTTGAGCACAGTGGCACTTTTAGCTCAGTTTGACTCACCTGGGAAGGAGACAGGCTAAAATATAAGTGAAGTCCTTAGTCCTTTCTGTAATTCCTTCCATGTGCCCAGGCAACATAAATTCTCCAGTGATAAAGAAATCTGTAGCTCAGTTTACAGTGGTGCTAAGAATCGTGCTAAGAAATGCCATACATGAAGGTATGCAACATCAGTCATGTAAGGGAAATGTCACTGTGTGGCATTTCCACACCAGCCAAACTAACTCAAGAGGGGTAATTTGAGTGGAACTGGGCAACCGTTGTTTAAGGAGCACTATTTGTGCCAGAAAATAAAGTTTTGGAAGAATAAAACTCTCTGTGAAATTGATATTTCAAATCTAGAGAATAGTTATAGCCAAAAAACATGGGAAAGAATGTTGAAAATGTCAAGATACTTCTTCTTCACAACTTTCAAGGAAAAAAACCCCCAACTTGTCAACTTTTCATTTCTAAACAGCATTTTTCATTTTGGAACTGACTTGAACTCTTGAAAACAAAGGGAAAATTTTTTCAGAGGATAAAACAATAAAAAAAATTAAGTGAAATATGTTCAGTTGATCTGAAACTAATTTTCCTATTTTCTGATTTTGTTAAACTTCTCTTTAAAAAAGAAAGTATAGTTTATATTAGGGTGGAGCAAATTGCTTTTTTCTATATCTTCATCACCTTATTAGAAAAATAAAATATTCGGAGCCATAAACCTGGGAAGACATAACTCAAATTAGCCTTACGGTAAAGTCACTACTACAGAAAGCCAGTAAATAGCTGTATCTGGTTGAGTAGGATTCAAATTGCAGCAGTAAGAAAGGAAAATAAACCATAAGTAACATAACCAATTGAATGTATCTCAAGAGAGGACAGGCTTTAACAAACTAAATCAGAATTAGCAAAATGTGCAGAATCCTTTCTGTTCCTTTTTTCTTTTTCTTGTTTGATCTTGGCCATTCAGAGTATCCTTTCTATCCCTGGCTAATAATAGGAATTGGAACTCTGCTCTGGAGTATTTTGTATCTGTCATCACACCTGATGCATTGGGTATGATTTCTGTTTGGCATGTGAAACTCTGCTACAGACTGTAGTTCTTTCCTTTTCGGGTCTTGGAGATGAGAAAGCATAACAGTGTGATATAAACCTGCCGTTCAGGAAACTGAATCTCTACGATGTCTAGGAAGCGTGAAATCTTTCCCTGAGTACACACTTATGCACCACTTGAATTCCACGAATGTCCTTAAAACAAGACTTAATTAAAATTTAAGGAATGTGCCTAGAGCTGGCTCTAGGCTTATAAGTTGCATTTCATTTTTTCTGAAAATGTCATTTTACCATCAGGTTCAGCTGCCTTGCTGAACTTCCTTTGTGTTTTCTTACTTTGTGTTTGTAGAAAGCCTGATATAGTGAGGCTTTGAAATGTTGTGAAGCCTTTTTGCATTAGCATTAATACAAATGACTGTTAATAAAGAAATGTAGCTGTTCACTTCTGTTTCGCTGGCTCACTGCCCCAAAAGCCTCCCTCTATTAGGTACAGCAAACTTTGCCATCACTTGTCCTTCACTGCTCTACAGGATTTCTATGTGTTGTTAAGCCACACTCATTTTCCCTCCCAAGCCATTTAAATTGTGCCCTTTTTTATACACAACATCTAATTAACTTATTGAGCTTTTTTCCACAGTAGATCATTAAGACTAAAAAAAGGTCATCTGGCTATCCCAAATCTGTACATTTGAGCAGAAAATGAAAGATCTATGGTAGCATTATATAGAACTAGTCATTTGGTAACCAGGAGAACTTAAGAAATTTGTTTTCCTGTAGCTTTGTGGATTCTTTAGCATCTAATACTGTTGTTGTGCTAATTTAGTGGGCTTTTCCACTGGGATGAGGGAAGGGCAGTCAGGAACCCATCAGTCCACACTTTTAAAGATTTGCAGATTCCCAAAGACATATTTAGGCATCAACAAGATTCTCAGAAACCTAAGTGCCAAAGTGATATTGCTTTGTAGGTGCTTTTAAAATCCTACTTTGGCATCTCTTTGCATCTCAGGTCAAAGCAGACCTTTGAAGATGTTCACAGACCTTTAGCAATCTGCCTGCAAAGGTCCCCAGTGACACTGGAATGTTCAAGAAAAAAATATTTTTCCTAATGGGTAGCTTATTCTATATACTCCTAATGTTTGGGGAGGGGGGAGGGGAAGGGCTGCGTTTCGTTGCAGCATTCTCAGAAATATCTATAAATAGGCAAAACAGAAACTTGGCATTTAGTCCCAGCTACTTTCCCAAATGGACTCCAGGAATTTGCACAGACAAATCTCCCACTGAAGCCAGCAAGGATTTTATCACGAAAGGTCCCAGTCCTGCACTGAGAATTAACCTCCCCCAAACACAGCTATAAGAACTCCTTGCACAATCCTCTTTGCAGCTTTGGAGCATAAGAAAAGGATGCAAACCAGGTAAATACTGACATAAGGCCAGGCAAAATGTGTACTCATGATGATGCATGACCTGGCAGAATACATTACTAGACCCAATGACAGTTATGGCCTGTGACTGCATATCAAATATGACATATGGTGCCATTTAAAATACATGTGACTGGGCACAGTGTATGTCATTTATGACACATCACCACTGTTTCTTGCAGAAGATGGGATTAAATGACTCACCCCAACAAACCTCCTGAGAAACTCCCTGGAGGATTCAATGTCTGTATTGGAGAGCTCAATGTAGTCTCCCATCATGCCCTCTTCTGTGGCTGGCACCTCCCGGTAGAAGTGTTTGGCCCTGGCGTAGAACTGCATCTCCCCATTGATAACTTGACTTGTCAAAGCGTAAAGTTTCACTGCAAGCAGATAAATCACTATTTTATTGTTAATGACATATTTCTGGTTTAGTTTATTGCTCTGAAGGCAGAATGGCGAAGAACTATAAACTGAAGTTGAGCCTTCAAATCACCAAACCTCTGTTTCTAAAGCAAAGGTAGAAGGAAGGTGTTGGATTTAATCCTGTAAGACCTTGAAGGGATACAGACCCCCTTGGGCAAATTCACTGCCTCCCCAGCTCAGACATTGTTTTTGTCATCACATTATGTTTTCATGTCAGTGAAAAATCATTTCAAGTTTGAAGTGAACATGCATGCCAAAGAGAGCAAGGGGGTTGATTTGCTCCCAGAAAAACTGTGGGCAGCATTTATTGCTATGCAGGGTCATCACTTCCACTATCACAAACCTAACTGTTCTGCAGATTTCCACATATGCTTTCTAGCCATTGACAGTTGCACGGAGAGTGCACCAAGAAGAGAGTGGATAAATGAGGCACTTGCTCTGGTTTATCTTTAGTGATGCTGTACAATCTGTGGCACTGCAAGTAAGCTGAACCAAAGAGCAGATGGTAGTCTCAGGCCTAAATGAGTATACGGGGGGAAGACAATTTAGAAGAGACAGTCTGAAATTTTCATCTGTCACAGATCAAGGACAGAGATAATCAGTGGGTGATATACTGGAAAGTTCCTGTGTGCTGGAGGCTTGGATGTTTCTTTTAATTGCTTGGCTATTTTGCTGGTAATATACAGCAATCTTAAGTTTGAAGCTGTTTTAATAAAACCTGTGAGATTTGCTGGGTGAAGGGCTATTTTCCCCTACTCTTTAAAAAACTGAGGTCTATCCTCCGCATCCTGAGTTCTTCTATACTCGATGTGCACCAGTATATCAAAAGCAGTTATGTTTTGAAGCCCAGAAGTTTGGATTGAGGCAGGCAATAAACAGTTTGCTTGGAAACCAGCACCTCTGACTGTCTCATGTGTGCATACAAGCGTCCAGGGATTTTCCTGTGTGTATGACAGACCTTCCAACAAAAACACAACTACAAGCCTGTCTGTGAAAGCTAAGCAATAAGGAGGGATGAAGTCACACTGGGAACAAGTCTTTGCGAGCACCACCTTGCAGTGTAAGACCAGCTCTGCTGCAGATTCCCAGCATGCTCCAGGAACTGGAAATGATCCAGCAGCAAACACCTTTTGGGTTAATAACAACAGAACGGGAGAGCTCCCTGCCAGCTGCCTACACAGAAGGACCAGGGAGCAATGCTTTGTCAGTGCATCTTTAAACTTCCACGGGAGCACTGCCGGTTGCTGCTGGGAAGGGTCTGAACAGGCCAGGCCTTGCTTACACCGGCTGGGGAACAGGAATTATGCCCTCCATGCAGAGGACGAGAGCTAGGCCAGAGGCCCTGAGTATAAGCCTGGAATGTATTTACTGAGGGCAAGCAAGCTCAGCAGGGAATGATAAGTGTGTGCCTGCCCATCCTCAGCAGGAGAATGACATTTTGGAGGCAAATGAGCGGGGGACAAAGGAAGTAGGATGGGGAATAATTACCACCAAGGACCACTCCGAACAGAATAGTGCTATTGGGTTACACATAAGCAGCATGCCCGGCATATCCTTCATCCAACAAAAGCAGCATTACTAGCCCCTCTTGTCATCACCTGCTTAAGTCAACTGCTGAACGGATACTATTAAAGCTTTAATCCATTACACATTTATGTTATGCCTGAGAAATTTATACCACAAGAAGCACTGAGCCCAGCAAGGTTCAAACCTGGGAGTTTTACACACTCCACTGATTATATTCACATACTCAGAAGAAACCATTTAGTTGAAGAAATTAATACAAAGGGGGCAGCAGCCAATCCCCAGCACAACTTGGCCAGGGTGGCTCCCAGAGCCTGGGAAAAAGACTCCATCGGTGGCTGTGATTCTTCCAGTAAATGACCTCCATCTTCCCCCAGGGAGTGGCACCATCTTGTTTTCTCTGTGTCTCTTTTTTTCTCCATTTCATATGCCAGCCTGCCTGGTGAACAGAACTGAATCCCTGCATGTCAGCTTTGCAAGATCTTCCATATAAGAGTCCAGTGATGATTTCTAGGGCTTGTTTAATGGACCTAACAAGGACCAGTGATTTATCCCATTTTGCTAGATTGAAGTGAAAGGCATTTACAGGCTGTCTGCACACTAGGACAGAGTGTTGCAGGCAGCTGGCAGCATGAACAACAAATATTCAGAGCCCTTCTACTCAAAACATAAGCTTGACCCAAGGCAACACATGGGGACGATATGCTGTTCAGGATATCAGATCTGTAGTGTGCGCGCTCAGATTTCTCACTCAGAAGCAGTATCAGGCTTGCAGAATGCCTGCAGGACTTGCATGCATACACCAGCTGACTGTGGCTCCTCCCGGCCCAGTTGGGGCCCCAGAGCCCTGCCTTACGTGCTGGCATCCGAAACCAGCTCTGGGCTTTGCATCCATAGGGTCTTCTCTATGCGCTGAAGTTTGCAAAGATCTTTTTATGCAAGTCTCCCACTTGAGGGCATGCAAGGATACAGGCTAACTTAAAGGGTGGCACTGTACCCAAAGTCTTCTCCTGTAGACCCACAGTCTCACTCATGCAGTGCTAGATCACTGTAGAGATGATTTCCACCTCTTGCTCCCTCAGTGTTACTCCTCCTTCTCATGAATTTGCAACACTGCCAACTCTCCCGATGCGCAACCCAATTTTCCAGACACAGCCAATCAACCTCACCTCTGATCTGCCTCACAGCTGTGCCTGGCATGCAGGCTCCAGCAGCAGGACCAGAGGGACAAGGAGGTTTGCCAGGCTGCAGGAATCCACCCTGAAAGAGAAGTGCAAGGAGGCACACACGTCCTTGGTGGCAGTTAGTGTTGCAGCTCTGCTCCAGCACACCTCCCCCTCATCACAGGACCTGTCTAGCCAGAGGCATCTCTCTTTCCATGACCCATGTGGGACTATCTTGTGCATCAGGAAATGAAATACTTGTGAGGTCTGTTATGGATACACAGCCTGATTTCAATGAACTTTGTAAAGTAGGGCATAGGCAGGATAGGATGATGGAGACTGCAAGTCTCTCAGACATTGGGGGGGGGGGGGCAGCTGTCTTTCACAGACAAGGTTTTCAGTGTTAAGGCAGGTAAATTGTAAGGTTTACGGTTAGAAATGTGTTTCTAGTAAAGTAAGAAGAAGCTTTTTTCATGGCACACTTGGTCTCTCAGCTAAATCTGCTGGCAAGTCCCCCAAGTGGAGATGGTTAAGACAAACCCACTGCAAAAGCAGGCTGAGAACTAAACTGGCTCCCTAAAGGTCACTCCAGTCATGAGACATTAATTTTCAGTTGCTGCAAACACAGTCTGGATGCAGAGTGTTGATCTACAGCTGAATGCCAAGTCCCGGACTAAACAGAGAGTATCTACCTAACCCCTTTTGCCCTGCAAAGTCCAGAACATTACCTCTAATATTATCTTATGGATCAGTTCAAAATTTTATTTCCCAGTGTATCTGATCTAAACCTCCAGAGAAATGGACCACTTAATACGTAAGACCAGGTGCAATCCCAACCTGCAGTAGACTGTCTTACAGTTCTTGGTTGCAGAGTTTACTCAGCTAAATTTCCCTGGCAGAAGTAAATGTTGCAAGTAATTTTTTTGAAGTTTTTATTTGTGAACCTTGTTTTGTGGCTCCAACTGCTTTCTGCAAGATATTGAACTAATTCCAGTTTGGCTGAGTATTCCCTTTTAAATGTAACATCTGCTTTGTGCATCAGTTGAAATATACTTATCTGGGTGCAGGGTAGAATTCACCTCTCTACTGTGGTCCAAGAACCATTTAAAATCTGTTTTATAGAGGATGAACATCAGCCCACCCGCAAAGCAGATTTTACTTAGAGGCACGTGCCTCACACACGGGAATATTTGTCTCTATGGGCCTATCATCTAAGTTTTCCACTGCAGATATCACCCCACTGGCGCTGAGTCCCACAGCCCATGTAAACACATGCATAATTTCCAGCATCTGAGTAGCTCCATTAAAGTCCACTCGGCTTAAGGGCATTCACACACATTTAAGTACATTGTTGGATGAGGGCCTAAAGTTACTCATGTCTCTTATTTATAAATGTTACCCTGGTCTGTAAAAGTGACATGTTTCTCTTAACAGGCTGTGATACCAGATATGCTCAGCTCATAAGTAAACATGCCTAAAAGTGCTCCACCACCGAACCTAGCAATGGAGTTGGGGGAGCATGGAGTTAGCATAGCTTGAAGCAAGCTTTCTAACTTGCTGACCCTGGGAAGCACTGCAAGTTTCAATGTGAGGCTTGATTTCAGTGTTATTATTCATGTTTAGGGTTAAGCACACGCTTAACTACCCTGCTAGTTCACAGTCTTAGTGTTGCTTTAGTCGTTTAATACAGTTTACATAAAGATATTTGGATCTAGTCTTGAAGCTTGAAGTTCATTTCTGCTCAGTTCCACTCTGAACTGAACTGGAAAATGTCATTCTGCAGACATGTTCACACCCGCCACATTCTGTCCTCTCCATCACAGAGAGCACTGGATCACAGGATAATCCAGGTTGGAAGGGACCTAAGGAGGTCCCTAGTCCAAACTTCTGCTCAAAGCAGGGACAGACATGAGGTCAGATGAGGTTCATCAGGACTTTATTCAGCTAGGTTTTGAAAGCCCCCAGTGATGGAGAATTGTATGACCTCCCTGGGCAACTTGTTCCAATGCCTGACTGTCCTCACGGGGAAAGTTTTTCCGTATAGCCAGTCTGAACTTTGTTTCCATTTATGGCCACTGTCTCTTGTCCTCCTGCCTCACACCAGTGTGCAGAGCTCAGCTTAATCTTCTTCGTGATGTTCTTGTAGGTACTGGCAGGCTGATATTTGGTCTCCCTGAAGCTGTCTCCTCTGGCTGAACATGCCCCATTCCCTTTGTCTCTCTTCACAGGGCATGTCAAGACTCCACATGTATTGTCTAATGACTGATGCATAGAAGGGGATAATGACTTCCCTCGATCAACTAGCTATGCTTTTGTTAATACATCCCAGGATACTGTTGGCCGCCTTTGCTTCCAGGACACACTGCTTGGTCATATTCAGTTGCTGTCTACCAAAACCCTACCAAGCAGGGCTGCTCCCTGGTCAGCCACTGCCCAGGCCATGTTGTCGTTGCCCAAGGTTCTTCCTTTCCAGGTACAGGACTTGGCATTTGCCTTTGAATTTCAGTGAATTTGAATTTCACTAGGTTCCCACGGCCTCCTTCCTCCAGCCAATAGCTGCCTCTGGATGGCAGTCCTGACCTAGAACTTGCAGACAAGTCCTGCCAGTTGGCTGCAATCTGCAAATGTGATGACCAAGCAGTCCTTCACCTCCTCCAGGTTATTGATAAAGACATTGAAAAGGACAGGTCCCAGGACAGACCCTTGCGCTACTCCACTGACCTCGAGATTTGACCATGACTTTCTGAGCCCAATCACCCAACCACTTTTTACCCATCTGATAGTCCACCCATCCTAGCATGCTGTGAAGTTTCTTGGATGTGTATTCACAGTGCACGAGCTACCCCACGGTACCTGTCCTTACACATACTTTTACTTCATGACAATAACCACGGAGTAACAGACATACTACATGTTCACATGAAGGCTGGACTCACAGTACTTTTTCCATGGAGTCAGACTAATTTGCATAGGCTGGCAATAAGCTTGTAAGCTCTTTAGTGAAGTTTTAATGATACAGGTCATGAAAAGCCTGGCAGTGGGGATCTTTAGTCTGACAGGAATATTTTACAAAGCTTGCTGGCTGGGAATGGAAATTCAGATAAAATTCAGACAAGAAATAAAATATAGTTTTACAAGAGTAAAGCAATTAGGCCTCGAAACAGCTTAATGATGGACTGATGGATTCTCAGTCATTTGCAGCCCTTAAACCAAGGTGTTTTTGTCTTCATAAACATATACTGTGACCCATTCATAAGTTACAAGCACAATGCAGGAACTTTTACATTAAATTCTAAGCTAGATGTTCATAATGGTACCTTCTACCCTTAAAATGATCTATTAGTACTTACACTAGCAGTTAACACTGTAGGAAATCCTGCTCAGTTTCTCATATGTTGTGTTTATTTTCAAAACAAATGAAAGAATAACATTTTCACAGACTTCTTGAGATTCCATCGACCTATAATTGACTTTCCTTCCTTTCCATCTTTCCTTCCTTTCCATCATTCATAGCTACCTACCACTAGGGATAGGAGTATTTATCTCCCACGTTTCATTTTAAATAGCTGCAGATATTGCTGCATTTGAAAAGCCACATCAAAATACTAAGATAACAGAGAATTGCTTTCTCTCTTTACAGGACTCATAAATTCTACCAACTTGAGCAGAGTTCTTACTCGGGTCTGTATAGCTTCACACAATCAGGTAAGATAATCCACTTGCCTAAATGGATCATTCCATCAGGAAGGAGCCCTCAAGAATTCAGTGTGAAGGGTAGTTTAACAGGTTGCACAGACACATCCTTTCCATCTTAAATTCCTACAGTTCTAACATCGAGTGGAGGCTGAATAATTCTGCTTAAGAAGTGACATGCTAATGTAATACAGAGTCAAGTCAAATCTAGTTTTTAGCTATATTGTCCTGGGGAAATTTTGCTTCTTATTCAGGGTCAAATTTTCATAAGATATGAACATTCATTTTCTGCATCTAAAAGAAATGTCGTGGCATCCTGTACCAGAGGCTTTCACTGAAATTTGGCTATAAACAAACATTTTGGAAGCATTTTCCTCCCAGATAATAAACAGTAGGTTAGACAGCCTGCTGCAGAGATCGGGATTACAAAGATTCTTGAAAAAAATTTTAAAAATCATTACCTTTCAAGCACTTGTCTAAAACAATACAAACGACAAGGCTAAGGATGCAGTGAATGACAATGAAACAGGTAGCAGGCAACAGAAAGTAAGGCCTGTCAGCTCTGCTAGTTTTGCGTTTGTCCTTCCAAGTTCCAAAGAGGTCAATGCATGTTTTACTTGAATGGTGACAAAAAAAGGAACCATCAGCCAGAAACCAAACTTTCTTTCACTCTTGTGGTCTTTCCCTTGCCCCCCTCTAACAATCTGTGGAGCATTTAGATAAAACAACGGGGTACTGAATTAGAGGGAGCTGAGAGAGAGAGTACTGAATGGTTTAGCTAGCACTGTAGTCTCTCTAGCCAGGCTTCTCAAAACTACTACTTGTTGTCATTAATGTGTCTGCACTCTACCATCTAACATGATGTATCTTTCTGGAGCATGGTCACACACACACACAGATGCTCCTGCCCACCAGCTACTCACCCAGGGGGAGCTTTTCCAGCAGATAAAGGTAACTCTGAAAGAAGTCGTTTTGGATCGCCTTATGCAAGATGAAGGACATACTGTGCCGACAGAGTTCTTCGTCTGTCTTGTGCCAGCGTGACTTAAAGGCCAAATGTGCTGCTTTATGTGCCATGATGAAGAGGTTCTTTGCAAGGGTGGACAGCTGCTGTGGCTTGTGCTCTCTGGAGGACCTGTCCTTCTGAAGAGGCAGAGGCAGTGTCATTTAAATTGTGGCAATGTGCTGTCATTCTATATCAGGGTGTGCGTCGAGAGCAGTGCAGGGGGCGGAGGCGGGCAACAGGGGAGTGAGAAATGCTGGCTCTTGGCACTGACTCAGAGTAATCTCTGGAGTGTCGCCCTCTGAAACGAGCAGGTGCTGGAAAGGGATAAAAAACTCAACCAGGAAATTGCTTAGCCAGGGTAAAAGTATATCTACTCCAAAAAAGAGTGGCTTTAATTCAATTACACTTTTCCTAATCTATTCAGCCTTCACTTCAAAGGAACTCAGATATTATCCAGGATCTCCCAGCTCCCTCTTTTATATTTCACAGAGTGATTTTGTTTCTCTGCCTCTCCCTTGCTATTTGTTTTTCAGTCCAGGGCACCCAAGAGCAAGGCCAGAAGACAGAACATGGACGTGCCTCTACACAAACTGTGTGTCCTAATAAACTGTGATTATAGCAAGCAAAGAGAAAGCATCAGATTCAACTTTCTCACTGTGTATGGCAGGCCAAGCCACTCTCTAGGCACTACAGTCTGACCCGGTTCATTTAATCTGTTTAAATGGTACAGACTATCTCATCAGCAGAAGCTAGCTGGAAGAAACTGCTGTCTGGGAACACAGGAATGGTAAAGCCAGGGAACGGTAAGAGCTTTTTGCTTTCGCTAACAAAATGCACAGAAGAACAAAAGGAGATAAACTGCCCATTAACAAACTTGGACAAATATATTGGCTGGAAAAGAGAAGGAGGTTCAGGCCACTACAGTGGGCAAAATTCTAGAAGAGGGGGAGTAGGGTGAGAAGCTGAAGTGCTTCTGGGCTGGTGAATGCTAAGCTGCTGAAGGGGGCTGTACATCATAAGTATGTCCCATCCCAGAGGAGGATCAGGCCCTCAAGGGACAAGGAAAGACAGGTACTGCTTCAAAACCTTATTTGCCCCTTGGTAGTTCAGGCACTTGGTGTGGTACAGCTTCAAGCCTCCCGAGTTGCAAAGGTACCCGGCAAGGGGATGGGGACTTTGTACTGACTGCACTGACCTCCACACATTGTGCCCATGAGGGTTTCTGCTTTTCAAGCTGTTTATTCCAGCTGTCTGCAGTGTAAGCACACTCTAAGGCAGCAACACATGATCAGAAAGTTGGATGTTTCTAATACGAAAGGGCTGCCGTATGTCCTGAGCAGTACTGCAACTCCCAACAAATATCTATCAAGCTTCTGAGAGCACAACAAAGAAGACCTAGCCTCCACCAAGGAAAATCGCTAGTAATTTGGCTACAGATGATGCTAAGCAGCTTTTAGCAATGCATCAATTAAAGCATATTTTCCAACATGACTCGCTTCCTTGGAGCAGTCAATCTCTGTATCTCCGCTTTCATATTACTTATTAAGAGTATTTAGGGGCAAAACCATCTCTGGGTATTACTGCCTTTCTTGTTTCCCCAACTACCATCCTGTACTACTCATTCTCACCTAACTCCACTGGCACGCTGCTCCCCAAGCTGTTCCAGCCTACATGATCATGCAAACATATTGGTGAACAGATCAGTGAATAAATCTTATTCAGAAAAATATACTTATTTTTATTTCCAGTGGGATCAGTTCCCCAATCCAGCCCACCGCTGACACAGAGGAATTTGTCATGTGCTACAATATGGAGGCTGGAACAGCCACCTGAGATGGTGGTGTGGAGGAGGTAGCCATACAGCCACAATACACAGTGGCCTTACCAATAACGCAGACCTCCTCCCTCTGTCCTGTCAGCAAGGTGTGCTGGAGGGGGTTCCATGACAGCCAGAGGTAATCTAAGTACTGGAAGATATGTTTCTACGCTCCCACCCCTCCCTGCTCATGCATTCCTGTTGTTGGAATCTCTGCTGAGCTGTTTCAGCTTGCTACATCAGCTGGCTTTTTCTGCCTGGTCAGCACCATGAACCAGCTCAGTGCAGAGCTTACAATTGCCAAAGAAGTGCAAGAAGGGAGACAGAAATGTGCAGCTGAAGATGGGGTGGGGAGAGTGGGGTCATGGCAGTGGTTAGATCAGCTGTAGTGCCACTGCACTGAAGTCTGAGCCCTTCCTTGAACAGAGGGTGATGTTCTTCACACAGCCTTAGAAATTTCAGCCAACCCTTGAAATAGCTCAGCCTCAAATTTCTTCCTGGTTGTGTATCTATCAGAGAAACACCAGGCTCTCTCCAACTAATTTTGAAATATCTGAGCTCAGACACAATCCTGGGGTATGTCTTAGTTTTCTCACAAATCTGGCCCTTTCTCTTTGCTTATCTATTTTCAGCCACCTGCCAGTTAGCGTGCCAGGAGCAGATGTGTCAAGACAGCATGTTAATGCTTTGGAAAGGTGTTGCACAAGCTCACTTTGTCACCAACAAAAGGCACCCCTAGGAACTCAGAGCCCACCTGTTCTGCATTTGACACCATGTTTCACATTTGTCATGGCTGTAGTTTTGGCAATGCCCATTGTGCGGCAAAGTGACCCCTCTGCTTAGAGATAGCAGCAACTTCAAGCATGAAACCTAAGCTCTGACGTGCCCTAGTGGAGTTAAATGCTGGGACAGCACTGTGGAGGGTGCTGGGACCGCAGCCCCAGGGGTCCCCATGGCTTTGACACTCGTGAGGTCCCCAGGGGCCTGGGCTTTTACAATTGCTAAATGTGACTTGCAAAGGCAGAAAAGGGCAGTGTTTCTCCCGCCTTCTATGCACAAGTGGGGCTTAACTCTCTCTTTGGAGCAGCACATTCGGGTTCCCTGGTGCCTACAAAGTGTCCCAGTGACTGTTAACTCCAGTGAAGCTCTCTCAATTTACATCCTCTGAGAATGTGGCCAATTACAACAGTGAATACATACACATGGGAAACAGGGCATATTTCACAGTCACTCCCTATCATTTTAATGCCCTGCTAGTCATCTTCTCATAACATACTCCTAGCCCACCTTCCTTAGGAAAAAAGGTATGTGCAATCATGTTGTGTATGTCTCTGTCTATGACTTTTATTACCCCATCACCAAACAACATTTAAACCTATCTATCTCAAACAAATCCAAGAACTATGTCAAAGCTTGCATCAAAACAGTAGATGGGGTAGAGAGGTTTCATCCTGGTGTGACTCAGCAAAGTGAGTTTTGCTCTTCTGAGATACCATAAAACCCATAAGGAGGGATGGGCATGGGTACATCTGCACCTCTCTTTCCAACCTACCATTCTCAACCATCCAACACAAATGTGTCAGAAACAAGAGTTCACAGGATTAGTTTTTCATGCTGAATGTTGGTTATAACTCTTTTTGATAAATTAGTGGTGGGTTTGACTCAGAGTAGTCCCGCCTCATACAAAAAGAGTGAAGATCTACAGAAGGCTGCATAAACACTACTTCTATTTATTCTATTTGCATGTGATCAAGACTAAGTCCCTGTTCCAAACAGCTCTATAATCTAAGAGTTACCATGAACACACACTCAGTCCTCAGATACTAGTGCAGCTAAGTAGGTGAATCACAACAGCATCAAGCCTTTGAAAACACTTGCAAAGCACTTCCTATTGCAGTCAAACGTTAGGCAGAAATATAGATTTGTGCCCAGAAGTCCCTGAAAAAGGCCACAGAAATAGCACTTTTTTTCAAAAAGTGGATGTTGTATTCTCTGCCTGTTTGTCAGCAGCAGCATCTTAATGGCTTCTGGTAAGAACAACTCACAACTGCTTCACGCTGTCTCCTAACCTCATATTCTGAACAGGAGTAGTATTGGTCTACCCAGAAGCTGCAAACAATTCAACCACTATTATATACCCTACCATCTCCATTAACAAGAAGTGTGGGGCTTGAGTATGGACACAATAGCACCCACACTACTTGTAGGATCACTGCTGAAAAGTGAGTAAACCCACTTCTCAACTTTAGTTTCCTTTCCCAAATGGCCATTTGGCTCTTTCTGAAGTTGAAGCCCGCTAGCCAGCTTGTTTTGTTGGTAGTAGGGACACTGGAGAATCTGGACCTCTGAATACACTGAAGCCCTACACTAAAATAACAGCAGACACAGCCACAATGCATGACAGTCATTGCCTCAAACAGCTTCTGGTCTAAAATAAGAATGTGTTTTTATTTATGTGGGTAAACAAATAGTTCCTCCATGTGTTGTCTTCTTCCTCCCCATAACATCAGGCAGTTCTAGGACATCAGGTTTATCATGGATTAAAATGAAGGATCAGCTAGAGTGGCTTCTTGTTAAAATACCTGCAGCTGATCTCTGCCTGGGAGTAGCACGTTTAAAATAAGGTATCAGATGGCTTATGATGAGTCACTGTAAGATCCAAGGCAGATATGTTTGTTGGAGCATCAGGGTATTTAAAGAGAAGTTGGACTTACTTTTATATTAGTAGGTAACTACCTGTCTCTGCAGATCTGAGCTGTACACGCTACTTCTGAAACACATCAGCTGAACAGAAGAGAAAAACATGTGCACTGGCTCCACATATCATACAGGTCACAAAGGGTCAATTTTGCCTTTAAATTACTGTGTTCTGCTTACAAAACACCTGGCATGCAATCTGATTTCCACACAGACAAGCCATCAGGATTGCTGCAAGATGTCTCTTTATCTTAAAAGGCCTCTATATTAATTCTTCTCCCTCACGCTCACGCCTGGCATATGCTGTCAGGAATAGATGTGTTTAAAGCAAGTGATTTTTGTTTTATCTTTGACAACAAGTTTTTAAAAGTTCCTGAAAACCACAGGATCATGTTGGTAGAAGAGGCACAGGCAGAGAGCACACGTGCCGTTACGAGGGCAGTGAAGAACAGCTGCAGGTTGGATGCCAGGTGGTAACCTTTACAACTGACTTTGCTGCAGCTAGAAAAGCAAGTGCCTGTATTATTCTGACTGCAGCTTCAGTGGCTTATTCAGAGCAACTGTGTACACCAG